GTCGTTGTGAGTCTTTTGTTTTGGATACTTTTTCTGGATGATGCCAGAAGCGGCGGCGGCGTTGAGGAGGAGCAGCCGCACCTTCAGCCTCGGATCCCGGGCACATCTGCTGCCGCTTTGTCGCCGCTCTGAAGGAGGTGCGGAAGGAGGCAGCTCGTAGGAGCCGGACTGTGTGGATTTGGTTGGTTTTCCTCCAGCATCAGCTGCTGCTGCTGCTGCCGGTGCTACTCTTCTTGGCTGAGACTGCGGATTGTCATTGATCCGCTGCTGCTGCTGCTGCTGCTGCCGGAATCCGGTGCACACAGCTGAAGAAGGAATACATTGTGAGTGAGTAAACGCACAGAAGGCTGTTGCTGTTGTGACCTACATCGCTTTACTCCTGCAGGACCGAGATTTTTTTTATTAATTATTATTTATATGTACCCTCGTTTTTTTTTTTTTTTTTTTTGGTGCCCTCTCTCCACATCCTCAACTCTGGTGCTGAGGATGCTGGAAGAGGAGGAGGAGGAGGAGGTTGCAGGTGGGGGGCCCCTGCTGTGGATGCAGCGGTTTATAATTCCACGCACGCCTAGGTGCTTTATTATCAAATTGTGTGTGAATTTCAGTGACATTGCGAGGCTCTTTCAGCAGAAAGAGAAGGAGATGGATGGGGGAGGCTGTCACAGATGAGAGAGAGAGAGAGTTGGGGGGGGGGGGGGGGGGGGTGACAGACTGAGAGGCTGGAATGATGTAATGCACTTGAGACAATAGCCAAGGATTCTCCCCCAATTAACATTGTCGGAGGATGAGGGAGCAGGTACAGTAGCACTGCAGTGAGGTTGATGGAGATAGAAGGGAGCGGAGGAGCTGTGACAGGAGAAGGAGCAGCTCCTCCCATGAATGACAATGTTACCGGCTTTGATGCACATGCAGGCAGGGGTCGGGTTACATTTATGTCACATGTGTCATGGATGGATGAAGCGATGAATGAATGAGAGCTGGAGAGGAGTCTTAGAGCACAAACCTGTACCTGTGGGTTAGTCATCGGTTGAAAAATGCTGAGGTTAAATGAGGATCACCTTCAAATCCTCAAAGTCTTTGGTCAGGAAATAAACAACATTTATAGTCAATTATCAAATCAAATTCGTTGGAATTTCAGCACTAAAAACCAGCAGAAAGACAACATGCCTCGGCTCAATGTATGAATGAATATATGAATGAATGAATGAATGAGCGAATGAATGAACGAGGCTGGTATCAGCTTCAGGCTGCGCTCATTAACCTTCACTCTGGTCTCTCCTTGACGTTAACACTCATATATTTCAGCACATTACATGACATGTATTTCACCTGAAGCTGTCACTTACACCGCTGAAAGTTAAAGGATTTTTTTTTTTCCCCATTTCGGGCTGTCACACACACACACACACACACGCACACTCACACTCACACTCAGACTCCACCGTCTAATTTGTCAGACAAAGCCCTGAGGCTCCACTGTCTAATTTGTCAGACAAAGCCCTGAGGTGTCCTGCAGAGAGATGACTGCTTACCTGTAGCTGAGGCGTTCAGCTCTACTGTAGAGCAGGAGTCAGTTGATCAAAGGTGAGATTTTGATCAAAATAAATGAATTCTGCTCTGGCTGCTCGCTCCATCTGGTATTTTTAACTCCCAGAAATGGAGAAAATATCCATGCTGTTTTATGGTGCGTTCATACAGTGCTCTGTTGATAATTGTAAGGGACTGTAGCGCAGTATGGTGTTTAACCAGAACGTAAAAGGTCAGCAGTCCACCAGTAGGAGAGGAAACACATCAGTCTTAATGTGTGAGGTCACGGAGTCGTGTCACAAAATAAGAACACTTGTTATTGGAACACTTGGAACGCCGACGTTGACGTAAGAACCAAATGTTGTTGATGATATGATCCATGATATGGATGGATATAATGGTGCTGGATGGATGGATGGATGGAACATAGATAAATAAATGGCTATATTTATTGCACGGTTGGATACATAGAGGATGGATCTATGGTTGGATGAATATATATATATATATATATAGGATGGGTAGATTTGTAGATGATGGATGGATGTGTGCATATATAATGGATGGACGGTTAGACAGATAGATACAGACAAACATAGAGGGACGTTCTAGTACAACAAAGGAGTAGACCACACCCAGACTCACTGGTAGGAGTCGTGTTCCACAGGGTCAAGATGTGATGGGGGCTTTGTGTGAGTCACATGAATGGTTGGTCTCACCTGACTGTGTTCCCCTTAGACTCTGACTGTGTTGTTAACCGTATGAGGGTTGACTTTTCATGGAAGTGAACTGAGTGAACATTGTAATCAGCTGACAGATGTGTCTTAATGACCCCTCTGTGGAGTGATTTTTTTTTTTATCATGACATGGATGCGTTCCATCACAGCCAGCTGTGACTTTTGGGAGTTTACGGATATTGTCTATTGACTGAGGTCGCAAAGGTTTGTGACTTTTTCCCCAGAAAAGAAGTTTGGGAAACGTTGTTTTAGGTCATACCAGCTGCCCATGTGACCCACACAAGCCTTCTTTACCTCCTTGACTTGAGAGTTGAGAGTGGTACTCGGCCAGCGGTTGAGTCTGGTTACCTTCTGTACATATATAAACATATGTTGACGGAGGGGAAGGGATGTTAAAGAAACTTGTGATATGTCTAACAATAGAATCTTTTTAGTCACTACCCGACATCAAAAAAAGATCTCGACAATTAAAAACTAAGGCTGGGACTTTAACACGTTCAGTTTAAATAATTACAAAAACATTAAAGAATTAGTGCATTTTAATTTTACACTCCATGCTACGTTTGTAAAATAAATCCATACTGAGGAGTGTAAAAATAAAAGTCACCAGTCTACACTTGGCGACGAGCGAAATCCGGTTTTCAGAGACAAGATGAGTCAATGGAATATCTTGAATTTCAAAAACATTCCTTCAATAAGAGCTCTCCAGTGTCTGCAGTGTTGGTAAAGATCGAGTGAACTGAGGAGCCACTGCAGCGATGTGTGGCCCAACGATCACACGGGCGTTTGTGCAACATCTGGTGTCTGATTTCACTTGACCATCACAAAACACAAACGAGCTCCACGGGGTGTGTAGTTCTTGGCACAGCCTCCCAGTGGTTGGTCTGAAAATGCATACATTCTGCAGTCAAGCACCGGGTTGCCAGGTCTGAGAGCTGACATTACAGGGAAACAGAAATGTTGTACGCAGCGTGCTTCCACCTCTGCTCAATGCTGGACTTTTGTCTTTGTTCTCCTCCGTCCACGCTCATATTCGTCCTCCATGGACTGATGCGTGGCATGACCTTGCTGCAGGAGAGTGTGGCCGTGCTAAAGGTTATCCAGCGGCTCTTTCATCCTTTCATGTGCATGCAGCCGGACTTATTTGCAGCTGAGCACACACATACACACACACACAGCCGACGAGCACACACTCACATCAGAAGGACTTCCACTCCCTTTCCTTCTTCACATCCTCCTTCATCTTCACTCGGCAGCAGCGGATGCACACTCACAGACATGTAACACACAAACACGTTTTTGGTCACTGGTTTTCACGGGCATTTCATTTCAACCTAATCCCCCGACCCTTTAAATACACTTTAAATATGATCTCTAACCTGGCTCTAATTCTAATCATCACTCCAAACTTAATATTGAACAATAAAATGTCCTCTCGCTCAGAGAGTGTCCCCACAACAGTTCATGTCCCCACAAGTATAGCCTACCAGGAACATACAAAATAATCACACACACACACACACACACACACACACACCTATACCGTTCTCCTCCTGGTGTGGTATTTTTTCCAAATGTTTCCTAACATATACAACACACACACACACACACACACACACTTGTATTTGTGTTTTGTGAGCACTCCACACAGACGATACATTAACAAGATTCTTACCCTCAAATTCTCCTTTACAAATGTATGTGTGTAATCCTCATCCTTATCCTAAATCCAATCTGACCCTAATTCTAATCCTAACTCCAAACCAGTTTTTGTACCTCACAAAAAACTCCCTGCAACCTCCATCATGTCCCCACGGGGACAACACGTCCACTACAACAGTAGTATTTCTCCCACATGTGTATGGACACACACCACACCACACCACACCACACCACACACTCGGACCTCGTCAGTCAGTCCTGGTGTAACTCTACACCCGTGCCGTCCTTTATTTCCTGCAGTTTTTACAGCTCATCAGGTCCACCAGGGGGACGGACACACGGTGGTGGACGACCGTCTGGTCCTACGTGGCTCCATTAGCAGAGTGCAAGTTGGCTTCATGTAATATTCAAGGATACAAAGCAGCCGAGACAAACAGATTCAAGGGTCAGTGAAGGTCCTGGAAACGGAGGAGAGGACGTATAAAAACCTGGATTTTGATGTAAAAAAAAAAAAAAAAGAATCGGAGATTACAGATTACATGTAGTGTTTTTTAATACTTGACTTGCATTAGTAGCACAAGCGGCAGGCTGATTACCCACGCTGCTTTGTGGCCACCCAGGGACCTGACTACTGAGAAACTCCACCTTTAAATAATGTCTGTGTTTGATTTCTTGGCGCGCCGCACGGCACAAAGTGCATCTGCGGGGCTGTATTGATGAGCTCCGTGGCCCGCCCCTCTTTCCCACTTTGGCATCCGTATCAGGGAGCGTTAGGGGATGAGGGGGACGTGGGGGAGGGGGGAGTAAAAGAGGGTGACACAGCGTTTTTGTGAATGGACAGAACGAGCCAGATTGCACGGCACGCGCTCAGAGTGCGGTGAAATCCCATTCACATGGAGACTCCTGACAGGCTGCAGAGAGACGGCTGCCAAGAAAACCAACAGATTAATCACTGCCACTGGAACGAATAATAGTGCCGCCGCTAACGGAGCCGCTAATGAGTGGACAGAGAAAACTGTTAAGTCAACGATGACGCTGCCAGGGCGACCTGCAGGGCCGTGACCTCCATCTTCTGCACGTTCTTGTCTGCAGGTATCTGCGGTATCTGCAGTGGACTGTAAAGGCTCTTACAAGGTCACTGAGGACACTTCCTCTGTTTTCCCTCTGGGAATGTTTTCCCGTGACCTGAGGTGGACTTTTACCAGGATATACAGCAAACAATCACAAATAATTCACAGCAAAATGATAGAAAATTACAATTAACTAATTTCTTTGGTTTTAACATCTATTTTGAATAAAATAACAGTTTATTTTTGTCATTGTATTTAAATTTACAAATGACTTACAATTATGAGGAAAATAATTTTCTAGATAATAATTTTCTCTCTCTATTTGTTGATATTAGATTATTTGTTGATAGAAATAAAATTAATTGGATTTTTTTAAATCAAATATTTAAATACTATTTAAATTGCCACTACTTTTTAGTCAATGTGGGGAAGAAACTATCCTTGAAAACCTTGACTCATGCTCAGTAAAGTAAAGTCAGATAATAAGCAAAATATCATAATTAACATAAAAAGTAAATGATGGATTATTGTCCTGGCTAGCTTTTTATTAGCGTTCTTTTTTACTTTAGCCCTTTTTCTCTTCAGGCTGCTTTTTTAACCTGGAATTTTAAATTTGTCCCTTGGAGTTTTTTCCAAGTTGCTGCAGGACAATGGTCGAAACAAACCCACTCCTAATTCATTAAAACCCCTTGACTTTTTTTTTGTCTTATTTTATTTTATTATTCACATTTTGAGGGTATCTCTGTCACCTCGAAGCCCCAGCTGAGCACTGATCAACACTTCTGTACACAGATTTTTCCCCCTAATTGTGACATGGAACAATGTCAAATCAAATTTTTCCTGTCTGACTCTCAACTCAAGAAGCAATTTTCTTGTTAAATGATGTCGAAAAATAAAGCTGTAGAAACACAATTAACTAATGCTGGATATATTCTCCTCTCTCCGCAGTTAACACCGACACTAATATATACCACGCAGCTTATCTCCAAAGCCACAGCCTGTTATTTTCTGCCTGTTCTCTGGTGTTTGGGTCTTTAGGTTTTTCATCCGAGTCGTGACTAACGCTAAATTTGCCCAGAGTGGTCGTATACAGCTCAGGAACATATTGCTGTTTTTTGTGCACGGTGCTCCTTATCTACTCACACAATTGTTCCCATTAATACGATTAACTGAGGACATTCAGGGGAATTAGCTGCCGTTCACTGATTTCCTCTTTTTTTAATTCTTCTTCTTCTTCTTCAGCAAAATGGAGTAGTTAGATAGTAGTTAGACGAGCGGCAACCCCTGCTCCCTGTCTCCTGTGGACTGTTTTCTGCCTGCTTAAAGAATCCGTTAAAGGCACCAAAAAGCCATCGCTCATGTTGACAGAAGTCACTTGTTTGCTCAGTTTTGTCAATTAGGAAAAATATTGAGATTTTCAGAAGGTTCTACTCGTCTGTAGTCTCTAGTTTCACTGATTGAAGAAAGGTGTGATTAGCATTTGATACAAAGGGCAAAAGAAAAACTTTAAATCCCTGAGTAATTTCAGCGGCATGTTCTTATTCTTACTACGGTCTGACTAGTCTGCTCCTGGGATTTGATTTTTAAAAGACTTTGACTAGCACTGGTCCACGGACCAGGGGTTTGGGGACCCCTGGTGTCAATGATCTTGACTTTGTGGAAGTCTGTAGATCCTTTTAATTAACCCTAAAATGGCCAAGAGAGTGATATCGTGTCGTATTGAACCTTCAGTGCGTACGGATGGCTGGCTGTAAACAGGCTGGTTATGTGGCAGGATTTATTCTTTTGTCCTTTTCCCAGCCCTCAAAGTTGAGCCAAAGAGACAGATGTGATGTCTTTGGAATCGCACAATTAAGCAGATAAATGATTTATCGAGTGATGTGGTTTCTCTGTAAAGTCAGCCGCGTTGGTCCCATAACAGATCCGTCACTCGCACACACCGTCGGCATTTATTGATTTTTCATAGACGGCAGAAATGATTCAAGTCAGCGAGGGGTCAGTGTGCGGCGATCAAAGCGTAAGGTGCAGGAAAGAGACAACAGAAAGGGATTGTTTGTGTTGTGAAGCGGAGAAAAGCCTCATACATCCTCCGCGTACTTTGTTTTCCTCCAAAAAAAAAATAAAAATAGATAAAACATCTCTTATCAGGCAACAAGTTTCCCGTTGTCTTTGTTTTGCTGTTGCAGAAAAAAAAACTGCAGTGCGGAAAAAACGTTCAGAAAAGTTGATTTGAATGAAATGTGATAGTTGAAACCAAACCTTTGAGGCTGACAAATCCATGCACAGAACCAAGTTTTGCAACGTTAATGCAATTGAATACCTAATGAAATAACTGAAGCGTGTATTCAGAAGGGGTCTGCGATATTGCTCCTCTGAGTGCTCGGCCAACTAGTGTCGGAGTCTGTAAGCGTGTTTATATCTCAAATCTTTACTCGTATCTCGGAATACTCGTATGACGGGACCCTCGTATCTTGAGGTTCCACTATAACTGAATTTTCTCTGATGAATTCAGTAATGGTTTTGAAGTTTGTGTATCATATTATATATAGTATTTATATAGTGTCTGGGTTTATTTGTATTGAACATTGAACTCTGCTCTCTTCTTTTTAACAGCAGTATTCATTTTACAGTGTAAAGTCCAGTAAACAACAACAACATAAATATTAATGTCACCAAACGTAAACACAATTTAAACGCTGTACAAAGCCGGAAGATTCCTCTGGGAATCTGAGGGAATGTGGCTCCATGTTCTGACTGTGGTACAGCTATGGTGTATTATGAAATTGGATCCAGGCTGGCTTCATTAGGCAGAGCAGGCAAGAAATGTAGGGCAGAAAGCTTGACCTCCTAAGACAGCGCTGCTGCTGGACTCAGTGATGATGACAGGAGACTGAACTGCTGCAGAACCACAGCAGAAGAAAAAAATGACGGCGACTCACACATGTAGTAACTGTCATGAAATCTATACGTGTACAGAGTGGTTTTATGGTACACACACTGAGTACTAACAGTTCGACTCAACCAAACACTAAACGTCTTTTTCTTCTCCTCTTCTCCACCAGAGCCAAGATGATGTGCGAGGTGATGCCCACCATCAGCGAGGACACGGCGCTGAGCCAGCGCGGCTCTCAGAGCAGCGCCTCGGACCCGGACTCCCACTTTGAGCAGCTGATGGTCAACATGCTGGACGAGAGGGACCGGCTGCTGGACACGCTGAGGGAGACTCAGGAGAGCCTGGGATTGGCTCAGCAGCATCTTCAGGACGTCATCTACGACCGCGACTCCCTGCAGCGGCAGCTCAGCTCCGCCCTGCCACAGGTGAGTTCAACAAATGTCACTTTTGAGGATGTTTTGGAGAGATTGTTTTTTTTAAATTTTATGTTCTACATGTTGGAGGTTTTCCTGGTGTGAATGGTGGAATTTCTTCTGGTTTGAATGTTGATGCTGAAGCCTGTAGAACAAGGTGGAAATTAATCTCTTCTGTGAAGTCCTGTGTGGGAAAAAGAGGCAAAGTCTCGTGCTTTAATTCTCACTGTAAAGAGAGATTAGCACTTTGTAATTCCAGTCACATGTCCTCTTCACTCTCATGCCAGAGTACTCTGGTGGTTTGTTTAGCCGACAGAAGGAGAAAAGAGAAAGAGAAAGAGAAAGGAGGAGGTGTTTGTCCTCAGTGCCTCTCTGTAGCTTCTAAGATCGGGTTTAGAAGTGTTATAATTATGATTGTCACTCTCTCAGGAATTCATTTTCTTTTTGTCTGGTTTGGTCTTTGGAAAAATCAGGGACAGCTTTGAAACACTGCAGTTGAATTAACAAAACAAACTTTGGATTCAGACATAGTTTCAATCAGACAATTCTAAAAGATTCAAGTCGATTAATAGATTCAGATCAAGTTTAAAAAATAACAGATAAAAAGAGACGGTGGGAATTAAAAAAAAATTAATATATTGTGTATTTTTTTAATATACACAATTTTTTAAAAATATATTTAATATTAATTTAATTGTATAATATTATATGATCTTATATAATAATAACACATTTTATGCTATTATTTTATATTATAATTATTGTATATTAATAAATTGCTTTTTGGACATTTATCGACTCTTTTGGTGAGACGGTGAGATTACTCAGTTTTTGTCAAAATATAACAAAAATGCTTTTCAGTATCGTGTCTGACGATGAACACGGTCTGCTTGACTTGGCCGTTATTATTAAACTTTGTTTTCTGCCTCTGCGGACGTTTCAGAATCTCAGAACATTGTAGTGTTTGATCTCTGGGTTACGAGGCTCAAACTTCAGCCTGGAGGCTTTGGTTTTTCTTTGGTTTTTCCACAGAGGACATATTCACAGCAGAGCATGAGACAAACAAACAGGAGGAAGATGAGACTCTACAGAAACACTGCTTTCATTGTCGGGTCATGTTAGTGTCAATTTCACTTGGTTTGGGGGAAAAAAAAAACTTCTTTAAATCAAGTTCTTCTAAAAAATTCTAAAAAAATTTTCATTTCAACATTCAGAGATTTATACAAACATATAGTAGTGTTAAACCTATTACATTCAACATGTCAAGACTGTTTTTGTCTGTGAGGTGTATTGTGAGCTAAGATTTGTCTATGATTTAAAAAAAAAAAGTTGCCCAACAAATCAGGCCACTATGTCTCAACACTGTTCACCAAAATGGTTTTGACCTAATGTTGCTCATCCTTTTTGTCTTCTTTATGGCCTGCAAATAGACTGCAGGTACATTACTGCCACCTCCTGGGCAGGTATGTGTGCACCAGTGTGACAGGTGTCTCAGAAAAGCCTGAGATCTTAATGCCGACTGTCAACAACTGTTACAAATGTGACGACGACCTTCTCTGTAAACATTTCAAACCTTTCATTTGTAGCCGACGCGGTGGTGAAATAACATTTCCATTTCCAGACAAGCCCACTGATGTCTGCTGGCAGCAGATCCCTGCGGTGATGTATTGGTTATCATTGTGTAATGACAGCGCCGACATATTCCTCCGGTGCTTTTCTTGGCACTTTCCCCGAAATGAGATGTCAGCCTGGTTGATTGGGATGCTCCTGCTGCAGCGTCTCGGCACAAACCCTCCCATTAATTAGTCTGATGTTTGGAGTCTCTCTAAGCATGTGTGGTATCAACATCACAGTAATGGTCTGTGAAGAGGTTTGTTAACCTTTTGGTAATTATACACAGTCATTCAGTGAAGTGAACGTGGCCCCGCTGTGCTGCTGCTGCTTCGTATGCAACAGATAAGAGCGCTGGTTGCTGCTTTTTTTTTGGCTGTGCAGTAAAATAAGAAGGAGCTAATTTTTCATCCAGACACTGCGTTCGTTATTGTGCTGCTTTGTTACCGACGTCTTTGTTCCTGATTACCTTTTAATGATTTTCCACTAATGGCTGGTCCTTCTAAATATAGATGCCATTTTAAATGCAAGACACTCGGTTTTGGAGAGAGTTGAGTTCAATGAAATTCTTTTCAGCTTTTCCTTATTCATAGTCAAATTCCAAGTTAATTCATAAAAGGAAAAAACAGTTGCCATGAACCCGTAATTTGCCTTGACAGGAAGATTGTTTGTAAAAAAAAAAGACTCAAAAATATAAATAACCAATTTTGGACCACAAACTATTGAAAGCTACACTATATAAATATGGCATGAGCCAAAAGACTTAAAAACTGTAGCTAGCTGTATAGAGTTAGTCTTGAAAATGCTGAAAAAGTTGTGAAACAACTTATTGTTATTAGGTCAAAAAAGTAAAAAATGTCCAAGATGGATTTATAGAATAGTCAAAAACACAAAATGACAAGTTAAATATCACTGAGAAAATAATATGGATAATAATATAAAACCAAAAAAGGTTCAAAATAGCAACTAAGTTTTTTTAAAGTGAGCAATAAAATAGCTTAAGATTAGCCTTGTAGACAGAGGGCAGGAATATATCTTAAATAAAAACTAAAAAATTACACAGTTATAAAACTGCCTCGTAAATCCTCCAATATTAAATCCCCTAAACATAGCCAAAAGATAGCTTAATGTTAGCTATCCTGCTGTTAAATCGTTGCCAAATTTGGCTCTAATGGCTGGGAATCCAGCTTCAGAAAGATATAAAACTGTGCTGCGATCATCAAACATTTTAGTAAAGCTAAATGTTAGCTACAATACAACTGAGAACCTAAATATAAACCGATTTTTTTTTCTTCTAAAACCTAGCCAGGATGCTAGCTTTAAGTTGGTCGACAGTAGCTAGAGGTTATCAGAAAATAGATGGAGCTGTTTTACAACACTGGATAAAACAACTGAGAGTGTGTTTTCACTGACTTCACTTCTCTGTTCCTGAAGCCTCCAGCTCGTAAAGGATTAGCTGTTGGCTCACTGCCTTTTCTCTCCTCCCTCTGTTTCTGCTGTCACTGTCGTTTTTTCTCCTTCTCCTGCGCTTCATTTTCTACTCTTTCTCTTCATTTGAGGTCAAAACTCTGCTTCACTTCTCGACACTTTTCCTTCGGCCACTGATCCCGCCTCGTCTTCGCCTCGTCATCAGCTCATGCAGAAGCTGCCATGTACTGTGTGAGTGTGTCATGTCGTGTGTGAGGCCACACTGTAAATGTCCATAGACAACATGTCCAAAGACCTGGTCGTCAACAACACATTTATCACAGAAAAAAAAAAAAAAAAAATCACAACAGTTGCTGTTAATCAGGTCTGGGCTCGAAAACCTGTTCTCCACAGGTGCTCTAGCGTCACCACACTGCCACACAGTGGAAGTGTGCTTAGATTGCTTGCCTTACAAGTAGAACTGTTAGAGGTACTTGCAAAGATGCTGATACTAAAATGGATGCTGACAACAATAACGATGCCAATACTGTTAATAATGGGACTACTGGTACTAATGATAACAATGGTACTGATACTGTCACTAATGCTGATCCAGGTATATGTTCCAGTACTGATACTGGAACTGTTACTGGTATTGATGGCAGAAATGTCTGTGAACAACAGCCGTATAAGCCAAGTTACATGTCTGATGCTGTTACAGGAATAGACTGCTGGGTGGAATTCCCATGGTGCACAGACAAATCTCTCTCTTTTTCAGTGTTCCTGGGTTTTATTTTAAAATGAAAGTGAAGAATGTGATAAACGATATTCATGTTCCTGGGAGATGTTTCGTAATCAACAGCATGGCTGTTGGGTGTCGAAACGACTTCTGAAACCCAAAGAGAATCTATTCATGAAGCTGCTTTTAGCGATGCCTTCAGATCCGTCGTTGCTTTGATGTCTTGTTTAATATTTACTGGCTGGGAAAGTCGTTTCCTCAAGTAAAATGGCAAAATATTTCTGCCCCATAAAACCACTTGTCTGGCTGTTGATCCAACAACCATTTTATTACAAGAGATCAGCCTTTTTCTTCTGGCCTCAGACTATGAGCCTCTGTGGGATACAGGGTTCCAGCGCTGTCATCCTGAACGCCTGGTGTGTTCCACGTTATTCCCCTCTCTGCTGCAGTGAAGCTTGACTCAGTCTGCCTGAAGAAAAACTTTCAGTAAAGCTTTCGGTGTCATGCATGTTAGCCCTCCTCCCTCCCATCGTGACCCGGGCCCCAGACTGCGTCAGCTTTGCGTTTGTTCTTCTCCCCGTGCTGTTTATTTACTGTTCCAAACATGGTCTCATGAAAGCAGCAGCTGATGCCGCTGCCAGTTTCCACCACTGCACAGTGTGGCTCCAAAGACGCAGCCTCCGGCGAACGCATGTTAGAGTTTGAAGCTGAAGATGTTGGCGCTGCTGAGCAGGTCACACACTTTGGACGAACTGTGTTGAAAACACATGGTAGAGACGTTTAAATGAAGAGAAATCATCAACAAAGGATAAAGCCTAAGAGCAAAACTTCGATTGATACTTTTTAATGTTTAAAAGAAGTTTAAATTATATTGTAGTTAAATAAAATTATTTTTAAATATAGCAAGTCAGGTTTACCAAGTGCTGGGCAATGATTAAAATTCTGCATGATTTTTCTGCAATTATTTGCATTTTATCATATTTCATATATATTCATATATTGATAATCATATTTGTTTACACTTGTATATTGGTGTATATTATGAACTAAGTGATACTCAGAGTACATAAATGTTGGAATAATTCTTTGCAGTCTTTACAAATAACTTTGGTTGTATTAACTCCGCTCTATTGAAGATATTTTAAATGAGGGGTTAAGTTCATTCTTGATGTTTCACCCGTTGCCAGTTCTTTGTAGTGCTCAAAGTGCCCTCTGCTGGAGGAAACCATGAAATTCCCAAAAGTCCAAACTTTTCCTTAAATGTAAATAATCAGCTTCA